ACAAGCTGTTTCTCAAACCTGTAAGTAACAAGGAATGCTGAAGATAATATCTACCTACACTTTTTTACTTCAATTACCTATTTGGAGGATAACGGACGAAAGCTATCTACGTAAGAGGTAATAAATAAATTATCCTATTCATAATCAATAAAAAATAACGGCTCATCAATTGATCATAACAATAACAAAAACTTAACCAGTTAATATTAAAGTATAAGTATATTGGAATTTAACGACACCTAATAAAATGGTATGCGATCACAGAGCGATCATTAGTTTTTGCGATACACTCTATTTTAATTTAATCTCGTCTTCTTCACTGACTGATAAGTGGTCTCTTTAAAAAGGTAAACGGTCGAGACTGAATAAAGCACCCAGTTCACTAGATATTCATTTCTATGTACTACGAACGTTGGAGGCTTGTGGATGGAATCCTTTTGTGGTTGTAGGGTTTTCTTGCCACCGATTGTTTTGAAGACGCATTCCCATAGATTCCTGCACAGCTTATATAAACAGCTCTTTCTCGACACGGAAATGGTGACATGTGAAAAGATCGACGTGGGTACAATAAATCTTTGACTGAGTTTTTATGCCTCCTCAACTGACAGCGTTCGAAAACATGTTTCTCCGCAGATTTTCCAGCAATTTCCCAAGTTTAAAACTAGAAAACTGCCGTAATTAATGACTTCTCTTAGAAACTACTAAACTAATTGTCCGGCTTATCAAACTGCATCAATGAATGTAAGTAGCTGTATGTAAATGGAGTCGGTAAATATATTGGGCAGTGTGCACCGACCGTGTATCGGTTGCTCTAACGACTCTGACATAACGTTACTTAATTTAACAAGAATAACAGTGTATTATAATTTTATTGCCGGCTACACTTGTTGGACAAATTGGTGTAACTATTACAAGTGTTAGAAGCAACGTTAATGATAAATACGAACGTGATCACAGTTTTATATTAAAATGAAATAACTCTCAAATGGCAGCTAATTATGGTACCACGTGTAATTTTCAAGTATAAGAACATACCTGAAGAAAATGAAAGTAATGCGTTGTTGGGAAACTTATTTGATGTAAAAAAGTAGCTGCTGGCTAGTTTGATGTTCACGGATACCTATTTTGATGATGTTTTTTCTTCTAATAACATGTTGTTCAAATGATTCTGAAGTACCAACATAAATTATCCCCGGACGCTACTCAAGTTCAAATTATAGGTAATAGGGGTCATCGGTGGTCATTTATTACAATAAAGTGTTCATCATTACTATCAGCATAAAGTAAATCACAAGAATAAAGCTTTGATTAAGTGTAATATAAATATATACCTGTAGGTACAGGTAGGTCAGAAAATTCTCTCCTAAAATATTTATTTGAAAATCTTTCCTTTTTTATCCCAGGTAACGAACAAGGGGCTTCCAAAAATAAAGCATTGCAGCGCTGAATGCAAAATAACGTTAAAGCATATTAGCAGAAGACAGCGCTTTCGTTTCTCACATTGTTAACGTAGATTACCTAAATTGTATTTTAATGTTCGCACTTTCGTTTTACATTGCCTACAGACATGCGATACCATTACGAATTTTATATTTTCACGTCTTTATAGTATAGGAATATTACGACACTAGATCACCCAACAATGGATTTTTAAACTTTTATGTATATCACGGTGGCCCGGAGGCTTAAGACGCCCGCTCCTCATGTACTCAGTACTGGTTCGAAACCTACCAAGTTATAATTCCGAGTTATAAATACTTTCTAAGATTATCTAGACACCACTGACAAACGGTGAAAGAAAACATCGTGAGGAAACCTGAGCTTATAATTTCCAATTATAAGTTTGAAATCTCCAACACGCATTGAATGACACATCAATGCACATCATCGAATGACTGCTCCCGCCTGGGTCCTCACCCAGGCGGAAGCAGTCATTCGATGATTCGGGAGGGAGTGTCAGACTCTTACTGACTAAAAACCACCGCGTTCCTTCTCCTGCACGTCGAGCCGGAGCCCCGGTTACCCGTTAGGTTCTCCGCGACGTGGTGATTAATGCTTAAACCTTCTCCGTGTGACAAGAGACCTTTGCTCAGTAGGTAGTGGCCACTTATAGGCTAACGATTTATGATTGATGTACTTTTAGGTACCTAAGCTACCTAATTGTTTTTGGGTTAAAGACAATTAAACTGTCAAACACTAAGCGGTCACCGGTGACCGCAACCTATTGTTCTATAATTGTGTCTACAAAGACGGTACTCGACGAGTATATAATAATTAATTTAGAATTAAACGCAAGTGGATAAAAAGAGCCATGACATTATGACAAAGCCCTTTTATGTATATGAGTAATAGTTCACCAATGGACTGTTACGGTCACGGGCTATTGATGATGATGATGATCTTAATATCATTAAGATGCTGTAAAAATACACTCACAAAGCAATCCTTCTAGACTTATTATCTGCAACATTGTATCAAGACAAAGTATATATATTTTTTATTTTTAATAGTAAAATAATTGCATTTGACTGGAAGACAAACAGTGGTTCATCTGCATTAGCACATTACCGTCATGCAACACTTGCTACAGTCGTTCAGTAAACACGAGAATATTTATAGCTGTAGCCTAGAGCACAACAACTAACTACATTGTAACTAGAGAATATATTGAAGGCTCCATCTTACTTGACTAACAATCAGATCTAACTAAATTGAAGTTTGAAGATATTATACATACAGCTATAAAATTTGTTTAAGGGGAGAAAATCATCTAATGGCTGCTCGACTCTTACTGACTAAAAACCACCCCGTTCCTTCTCCTGCGCTTCGAGCCGGAGCCCCGGTAAGCCGTTAGGTTCTCCGCGGCTCCGGATCGGCATCAGTAATGTTGGGCCCCATCCGTGGACAGCTATACAATAACATCAATCATAAACTTAATTAATGCAATATACCTCTATGTAGATTTGGCACAATAGCGCTCACCGTACTACTTAGACCTAGATAATTAAATTTTCAAAATAACTCTTTCTTCTTACTAGAAGAAAGAGTTATTTATTATTATGCGGTTATTCTTATACGGCAAACTTCGTAGCGCCTAAATATTTTTTCTAACCTTTCAAATCTTTTCTGAACCTCCACGAACATTTCAAGAACAAAATTAGCTAAATTGGTTCAGTCGTTTTCGAGTTTAACCGAGACTAATGAACGGAAATTCATTTTTTTTATATAGATAGTTATTTTTTCTATTAACAAACTACCGAATATTGCTTTGCGTTGCTACCCGGTAGTTCTGCTTACAAGCACTGGAGCAAAGCAAAAATAAATCAAACCAATAAAACAATTAGACGCCTATCTTGTACTAATTAGGAAAGAACTCGTACGAATTGCATAAGTGATTTAAACACCACATGAAAACATAAAATGGATCAATAAAAGTTCATGAGTTTTCTAGGAAAACTTTTATTGAAACATGGGTACTTGGAAAGCTGAATGGTTGCACTGCAATGCTCGGTTGCAGCAGAAGTTGCAATAAACTTTCTATTGCTTGTTATCGATCAAACGTCTGCACATCCGCGCTGTAAATATCTGGATAATAAACGTCTTTCTATTAAAATGTGTTTTATTTACCCGGATGTTAATCGTAACGAAGTCGGCGGATTTTTCTAGTTTTCTCAACGAGCATGTTTGAATCAGTAACATGATTTGTCGGATTGCAAGATTTTGATCGACAGTTTCATCCTGTATTTTTTTCTTATGATTGATTATAAGTTCAACTTTTCCTGGCTGGTATACAGCTAAATTAAGTATCTTTCATAAAACAACATTCTAATTGAAAACGCATTTTAAACTATTAAATGCAGAGCAGGGAATCGATATCTTCAACCAGGTATGGGTACAAATACCGATGCTCTACCCTCAAGATCATAAACCTTCCTCAGCGCACTCGTAGTGACAGCATCCAGTTCTTATTTCATCCAAAAAGCCATTTAATTTGCGCCTGTCTTAAGTAAACGCTAAGACTGAATAGATTACTGGATATAAGTGCTAGGGTATTAACCGACCTTGAGAACTGCCCTGACTACATGAGTGCTACATTTTTTTTACACATCCTGTTTGTTGGAGTCAATGACGGAGTATGACTGCCTTGTCATAAAAAATAGACAGCCTAAGAAAGTGTTTGCAAGTAACTATTACGTAGGGTGATTTTTTTATATGCGTTTTTATAATCCCTTCAGTTAGGAATATAGGTTTTTGTACATTTCCTTTTTCTATTTAGATTTATGTGTACGTGTAAATGATTGCTACGTTTCTTGTGTTAGGCACCTAACTGGTCATTTGTACGTCCCTTTTCTTGGGTAATATTCCGAGGAAACCTCATTTACCAGTATACCGTGTAAAATCACACTACTTAAGCATTGTAATTATGCTTTATAATTAATAGCTCTAAAACATATTAGAACAGTGATACGACACCTACTAAACAACTATTAACTTGGGCTACTATTTTTGAAACACGACTCGTTCCTCTTAATGATACATATAGTTATAAACTGCAGCAAGATGTATATTCACCGTCTCAGTATATTGGTATATTGATACTTATTGCTCATTTATTGTTTTTTAATGAGTGGCCAGCAAACTTGATTGATGCTAAATACACAGCAGTAATGTGTGAATGTGTTATTCGCTCGAACCTCGGCTAATTTAAAAATGTAAATAATTACCTCCGAGCTGTTTGTACTTGGATGGAAATTAAAGAGAGATTTATCTTCATTTTGTTTCATTTAAGTATATCTTATTTTTGCACTGGCGTTTTTACTTTGTGAACAACATCAATTACGTTCGTTAATATTTTTACCAGCCACATAAAAAGGTCCTCGTGTAATAACTTTATTATTTATCCACATTCTCATGTTCGTTTAAATTGCATTGGTGTTTGTCATAATTTCGATGTTCGTTTATCTGATTTGTTATTCAACTTGTGTTTCTTTTATTTCCAGACTGACAATGGAATACTCAAGAGTTATGCTGACTGTCGTGGTGCTGTGTGCACTGATGAGCCACAGTAGCGGCGCGCCAGCGAGGAGGTCGCGGGCGGCCGCCCTGCAGACTGAAGAACCTACCACAGTCCGCGAGAACAAACTACAGGACGACTTCAAGGAGACAACTACCACCACGGAAGCACCAATCACGAGCAGGAGGAACAAAGCTCTCAACCTTTTCGGTTTCTATCCCTCCTTCCTCTCATCGGGCATAGACTTCACCGAGGACGATGATGACATTAACTTCACCGTGAACGACGAAAACTTCGAAGATGAAGACCTCTCGCGGACCATCCCTAGCAGAAGACGCCAACAAAACAAGAAGAAAAACGGCAACGGACAATATCCGAACGACAACATTAACTCCTTACAATATGAAAACTCCCCAATCTTCTACATTAGGTTGCCTCCCACTCCATACATGTTTGTTCCTGGCTTAGGTTACGTATCTCAGCCCCCTAGTCTAGGACCACCAATGGCTCCCATGCTCCCTCAAGTGCCTCCTCAAGTAGCCGACCCTTTCATCAATCTTCCGATCGACTTCGTATCTAATGGGAAACCAACCGGAGTGTATCAATGGAGCGGTGCTCCTGCCTTCCCTCAAATGCCACAAGTGGATCCCTTCGGTTATGGAGGCCAGCCTATAATGCCCGCCAGGCCTACGTACAATGTACCATCATACTCACCTCCTAAGCCTAAGCCGGCTCCCTCGAACTCGAAAATAACGAACCTCAAAGGCCAGTACGTCTTCAATGGAAAGCCAGGAGACAACGTTTATGTTCTTAGAGACACCTACAACTCCATATACTCGGACGCCCTGCAAAACTTTTACCCTTAAAGCCTGAGATACGTAGGATAGGATTGTGTCTGGCTCGTATCGAGCTGCTGTAATTAACGAATTTCAAGGGACCAACTTGCGGATGAAATTAAATATAAAAGGAAAGTTTACAAGCAAGTCAGTGATCAGTACCTAATTATGAGGAGGAAAGTTAATTATCCTCCCTCGAACATAACGATGTTAAATGAAATCTTAAAAACAATTATATGCGTAAGAAACGTGAGGGGCCAATAACTACAAGCTGCCAATTGTTGCAATTACTTGCCAAGTTAAACTCGAGTGATGGAGGCTCGATGAATTATGAGTGAGATCTGCTACTTAATGGACTTTATGTTTAAACGAATTTAACATTTCCTATAGGTTTCTTTACTTTACTGTAATGAGAATACTCCATTAGTGATTTGTGAAATTAATTTAATTGCATTATTAACAAATTATTAATTTTAGAGACTGTGTGTCTCATATTTTTCCAGATTCAAGTTTAAAAATAAAAAATTAAAATTATTTGACCAATAGCAAGGTCGAGTCTACATATATGTGTTAAGTAAACTTCCTTGCATTGATGATACTTATACTTACATAGGTAGTTATTAATTAAAAACATATTAATACCTATTTATTTTATTACGACTGGTGATGTATTTCATAGTCTTAATATTTAAATAAGTATGAATTGAAGTGTGTAAGTAGGTATCTAGGTATGTAGAATTTATGTTTACTTACAAAATGCTTTTTTTGCTATTAAATTATAAATTAACTATAAGAAAACCTAGAGATTTTGATAAGGCATACGGTCGATTACCATGTAGATACGTAGAAGGTTCACAAATTACGAAATTAGGTAGGACCTAAGTACCTACCAATAAAAAATTATTTTATATACCGACAATTTTTAGAAGTTACTTTCTATTTTATCATCATCACACAATTTAGACAAATTAATATCGACCGTCTGCTTGACAGTATAAAATCTTAGGTTGTGATTATTATTTTGAGCAATAACATGTTTGAGTCAGCGCTAGATGTAATTTAAATAATCATTAATGTAAAATAATTTATTGATCTTATATTTATTCTTTAAATTATTTACTTAGATTTAAGATTTCTAATTAGGTACAAATAATAAAAAATAATTAAACCGTCCATAATGGTATGCAGAATGACTATGAATGTTAACTAACTTCGTAAATGCGCCGACATATTTTTTAGAACTAATATGATTTTTTTTTAAATAGTGACTAGGTAAGCTCTTACTTTTTGGTGTTACAAATAATCTTCGGTTAAATTGTATTGTTGATTGAAGATTGATATTATCACCGTGTAATTAATTTTATTTTATTGCTAGTGTTGTATTTGATCTACATTACCTTGAATGGTAATTTATAAATACAAAAACTAGTCAGTAAAATTTGTTTCCCTATACGTGTACAAGTATTAAAAAGTGTCAAATTTGTTCATGAATAAAGAAGTAAGAAACAATCTTGGCAGATTATATTACATCTTGGAAATACTGTGTTGCCTTGCATTTGTATGCATCTTCAAAATATTTATTTTGCGGTACGAATTACCTATAGCGATAACCTTGTATTTCCCAATCTGTATTTATAGAAATTAAGAAATCTTCGAAGTATTTTAAAATACAAAACGTCACAATTTTAGTCTAAGATAGGTATGAATAAATTTGTCCCATCCAGTGGATTTAAATAATCGATATTGTACCTAAATTGTAGGTTCTACTCAGTATGTAGATGTTGTAGACGATAATAAAATGATACATCCGCATTATAGACTTATGAAAATTAAGACAATTAAAAACATTTTTATAATAACTGTGTCTGTTTATTTTCCTTTTTATCCTTAAACAAAATGTATTTTCTTTTCTATCCTTATACAAAATGCTAGTCCTTGTTTAAAAAGAACATAAAATGTCATCTTTTAAATTTTACAACAAAAGGGTGTAATGCCACGAACTGGCGACAAGTAAGCTATGCTTTAACCTTCACGAAATTATAGGATTGTAGCAGAGAGAGTCTATTACGTATTGGCAAAATTAATTTCATCATCGTCATAACATCAAGCCTTTTATCCCCAAAGAGATAGGCCCATTATTCCACTGTACAATATAACACCCACTTTTCACTATTTATGTTATGAGTCCCATGTAACTGGGGGTGAGCCTATTGTCATATACCCGGCACAAGGACATGACAATGACTGCCTCGTTGGCCGAGTGGTCGCAAATGCGACTGCCGGGCAATGAGTCTCGGGTTCGATTCCCGGTACGGGCAAAGTATTACTGAAGTTTTAAAAAATTGTCAGTAGTAGCACGGAGTCTGGAATTGTGCCCGGTATATGGCAATAGGCTCACCCCCTATTACATGGGACTCATAACATAAATAGTGAAAAGTGGGTGTCACATTTTACAGTGGCATAATGTGCACCTCTGCCTACCCCTTCGGGGATAAAAGGCGTGATGTTATGTTAAAACACAAGGTGAACAATAGATAGTTTTTTTTGCCAAAGCTAATTGTTTTATTGATAGTAGTTACTAAAATAAACAATGAAATGACAATATCAACGGCTGGCAAATAAAAACGAAACAGTTGGTACTTAATTAAATAGTCTTATAAAGCTATTCAATGCAAACAATTATTCCTGTGTAGCTCTATTGTAATTTATGTCTCTTAGGCTCAATAAATGCATGGTCTATGCTAGTTTAAAGCAGGTAATTAAAAGTGTTGGATGGCAGATTTATTCAATTCCTACACTCATAAATATGTTTTCCAGCTACCTATTTCACATGGTTCGGATTTCAAACAAATTACCTGTTTATTGCCTCATGCATAGCATAGCAAAACTAATGTAGTTACGTTACAGTACACGTAATTATAAGAACATACCTATTTGCCTCCTAGTTACTGAGTACCTTTGTAATTAATAGATGTGATAGATGATATAATGCTAAAATATGAATATGTTATATTGTTATCCATTTTGAATATTATGGTACCATAGGCATATTCATGAGCAGAATTCCGCGCAGCGCGACGACGAGGCGACTATTTATTTATTTATTTATTGCAAAATGTATATACATAGTGGTATTATACTACCCTGTTAGGGCGCAGCAATTTAACTTATAGATAATAACTAAATACCTAATCATCTAATATATTATGTACTTATTCTATTCATTACTAACTTAATTGTGCTGCTACTACTGAACTACTGACTATTGTGCTGCTACTGAACTAGTAGCAAATAATGTGGTCGTTAGTTTATAAAAACCTCATTAGATATTTTTATGGTTATTTTTAAATTCTGAGAAGTGTGAAAATATGGCCGTTGTATAGCAGTAGGCTCGTTTTAAGTATTCACGTACTTAAAATAATACACCTCTGAAAGTAAAATAACTAAAATAAAATAAACTTCAGAATCCAGAGTCTCAATCTACATAACAACGTAAAAATAACTGGTGTAATAAAAATATACAAATTAAATATGTACAATTATAATGTGGCCAGTGGCAGAATATAAAACGGGGATAAAATAAAATTCATTGCTACCTTTGTAAACGCTTACTACGTTTAGTTATTGCAATTTCACACTTTGACGTCAGTCCCTGACAGGTAACAGTACAATAATAAAACAATATGTAAAACACAAATTGTAATTATACTATATTATAATTAGGTGAAAAAATACTATCAACCGTCGCTTTAGCTTACAATAGAACAATACAATAGAGCAACTAAGTAATGTATAATAAGAAATAAAAAGAAAGGACGAGCTAATGGATTAACTAAACGAACTTAACACTGTCATCGAAAACAACCAGAGTTCCGTCAAAATTACGTTGGTCAAGTAAATCGTGCGAGTAATGATTATAAAATTACAAAAATAACATAATTCATCAGTAAATTTCACATAGTTGAACAAAACACAAACTGTAGTTAAGACGTGTAATACTATGAAGCATTAAAGTGATAGTTAGTTTAAATAAATAACAAAAAGAACATGGTGCAAGTGATCTTGTGTGACGACGTGCTTCAATGAATTAAAAAAAATGAAAAAGAGTGTAGTTTTCGTTAATCAAGTGTAGAAGAAACAAGTGTCATCATGTTTCGCAGCAGAAGTTGGTTCGGGGCTTCGTGGGGGCGTCCTAAAAACCCCCATTCTTTGGAAAGATTGAAATATTTACATAATATTTTGTGTAAAAACACAACAGTATCTGAAAGTAATCGTGGTACCTTGGTGGAATCGTTGAGGTGTATAGCTGAGATATTGATATGGGGAGATCAGAATGACAGTTCTGTTTTCGAGTAAGTAATGTTTCTGTGATCCTATTTCATTATTTGTAAACAAAGTTGACACGGTGAAAAATGTTCAAGGTAAACTGGTCTTTGCAGAATAATTTAAAAGAAATACTTGTTTGTTCTATTTATAAGACTTAGAAGGCTTCTTTATTATCTTTACTAAGAGTAATAATAGTAATTACCAAATATTATGTACTTCAGATAATATTGGCACACTATTTTATAAAACATCAAATCATAGTCCGATGTTTGACTAAGTTGAGTTATCTAATTGGTGTATATCCTCCCTAACAAGTAAAATAAGCTGTACATAAACTAGATATGATCTTTATGTTATTAATTTAAATAAAAAGTAATAGCTATGCTAATTGTGCTAAAAATATTTATTAATTATTACAGAATCAGCAATGTTTATTATTTTTTTATGAATTAATAAGTTGAATTTTCTTACATATTAAACTGTCAAACACCAAGCGGGCACCGGTGACCGCAACCTATTGTTCTATATTTTGTCTATAATGACGGTACTCGACGAGTTAATACTAGGTACCCTTCAAGAGCTTCAACTAAACAAAAAAGTAAAAAGTTTGTCACTTTATTGTCCTGACATAATACATGTTACTGTGTTCCAATAACTGAAAACAGTCCAATAAAACCTATTTTATTTTCCATGATATTCTGTTCTACAAACAAAGACCTCTGTTATTTTATGAAAGGTGATCAAAATTATACATGATTGATATAATATTATTACTATCTCTTCTATATACATACATTAATAAACTTACAGTTTCTTCTTGGAGAAGAATATGCTGTCATATTTCTTGAAGATCATGCGACAGAAGTGTGGAGGCTCATCCTATGTATGTGTGCAACTGTTGCAAACACTAAACATACTTTTTGAGAATATAAGGAATGAAACATCATTGTGTAAGTAAAATAAATGCATTTATTTATTGTAAACTGTGCCTCATTAGCCGAGTGATTGCAAGTGCCACTACCGGGCAAGGGGTCTCGGGTCGGGCAAAGTATTACTGGGTTTTTGAAGGTTCACCTCCCATAAAAGGTTAACACCTTTATCTTCACTGTTATGTTGTTATTTTTTACTAAAAATAAAAAAGTAATTACTAGCTAGCATTGTTAAATAAAATATTTCTTTCAAAACACAATTAGTTTGTTATGGATGCTCATGACGTTGTGTGTGTCATGTACCGCTACTACTGCTCTCCAATAGTTATCAGATTAACTATTCCATCTTTCTTTTTATAACTCACTATCAGCAATAATATAAGACTATTATTGTCTCTTTGTTTTGTATAAATAGCAATAGGAATATTTAAATAAACATACCAATATATTTTTTATTCAATGTTTACATTTGTTACAGATTATTTGCTAAGTAACAACCATGTCAACTCAATAATAGTGCACAAATTTGATTTCTCCGACGAGGAGGTGATGGCGTACTACATATCTTTCCTTAAGACTCTCAGTTTGAAACTCAACAACCACACCATACATTTTTTCTACAATGAGGTAAGATCTTTTGACAAAGAAAAGTAATCTTTATATCCATGTTGCTGTTAATATGAAATTAGTGTGAGTTTACTCAATTTGTACATTTGTTTATTTATTGTCGTAGAAGCTAAAGAATTTTTCGTGTAGAATTAACTGGTTTCTTATACCAATAGTATTTACTGAACTTAATATTACTTATCTTTCTCTGTCTTATGCTTATGAGGAAAACTTCTTTTAATAACTAATGCAGTCAGAGAATATGAGTAACCCACATATGTTTGTTAAACTTCAATTAAAATTACATGATTGTAAGTGTGGGAGAGCCATGCTTCGGCACGAATGGGCTGGCTTGACCGGAGTGATACCACAGCCTCACAAAAAACCGGCGTGAAGCAACGCTTGCGTTGTGTTTCGTCGTGTGAGTGAGGTTACCGGAGGCCCAATTACCCTCCCCTTCCCTAATCTCCCCAATTCCTGAATCCCCAACAATCCTCAAACTCCTAATCCCCAAAAGGCCGGTAATGCACTTGTAACACCTCTAGTGTTCCAGGTGTCCATGGGCGACGCCGATTGCTTACCATCAGGTAATCCGTCTGCTCGTTTACCGGCTTATGCCATAATTTTTTTTTAAAACTATTTTATTGGAATTATGTAAATACCATCCACATTTAAATAACTTATTAGAAATATTACTTTAGAAAAAGTAACAAAAACCAATATTATTATGTGGCAACCAACAAAATAAAACAAATAGGTCAATATCTACCTAATTGCATTAAGTACATTAGGTACCTATTTTATTCAAATAATTACCTTATCATCAGTATTTTATGATTTATCGTTTTAGGTCAAATAAGCACTTGGATCTTTATCTTGTCCTTGAATTTTCCTGTAGTGAATATAGTTAATTACAAAATCATCAGTAACTAATTAAGGCCCGGAGGTTTAAGACGTGTGATGAAATATGTCATATAATTACAAATTGCTAGCATGATGATTAATGCTTAAGCCTTCTCTGTGCGAGAAGAGGCGTTTGGACAGCTGTGACCATTTATAAGCGTTTGATGATGAACTTTATGCATATTATTATAATATTCAATAGGTATTTGGAAAATATTTATTTTTACTATAATGAAACCTAGAAAAAGGTTCATTTCTTTCAACTAACACTTGTATCAATTTCCCTTATCAATGGCCAATGTTCTGTGATAACGCAGTTAATGGTTACACAGCTGTGACATAATTGTCATGACTGTGTCATAGTTATCCGGAAATGCAAATGTCAACTGTAATATAAGGTTGCTGAATATGACGCAACAATCGATAATTTATTTAGCCATTGATAGGTTTAACTAACTTCTCTTAAACCGGTACATTTTATTTTACATTTTATATCAAAAGCCCTTTCCTCTATTACTCTCTTCTAAGTCTTTTTAATTTGAAGTACACTTAGTGACACAACTCGCATGTGTTTGAAATTCGAGACAGTATGAATCGACAGGTCGAATCGGTCAGATATTTGAATATACAAATCTGAATCTAGTATATTTGAACAATCGAAATGCAGAAGTGAATATCGACATGTCGTCGATTGTTTCATGTTTCACAAAGAGACAGACAGTTGTTCAAGGTTGAGTTTTCACGTGTTACAATCGAGTCACGAACTATAGCGTGTATTGTTTGAAGGCATCACCGCAAAATATCAGTATCACATTGGCACGGCATGTCTAGTACAAAATTTGTAATATTATTATAACAGTGAACTCAGCACTTTACTATTTTGTCTAGTGATCGCAAACATTTTTGGGTACCATGTAATCTTGACTTCGGATCAGTAGCTCTCTGTTCGACCTACACTCCATAAACCTAACAAACCTACTACCTATAAACTAGTTCAGTACGTTTACAGAATTTAAGTAATCTCTCGATATTTATTCATTTTAAAAGTTATTCAGTGAAATGAAGGGGAATTTAGACATGATGTTTAAAATATGGGTGGCATCAGTAGGTACGCATTTTTATAGAACGAACCAAATACCTGTAATACAATTTTTGACTAATTGGTATATGTAACAAAGTCATTAAAATTTCTGTGAAAATATTTATTCTATGACGATTTCAAAGGATTTCTAAATCGATATTCCTATGAAAGTTTTATTAATCGAAACTCACAACATTTGACAATCAACTAAAATTACTTTACATTTCAAGCATTAAATTGTATCCTCTGGAGCGTTCCCTATGCAAGTATGTTCTAAGTGTTACATTTGAAATTAATTAGGAATTAATATTCACAGCACACAAAGGATTTCCCGCTGTATACAGAGGCGATCAAGTTCTTCAACCATTCCGAGTCAATGGTGCGCATCGCCGTGCGCACGCTGACGCTCAACGTGTACCGGGTGCAGGATGCCAGCATGCTCCGGTTTATTAGAGATAGGTATATAATATTATAATTTATTAACCTTGTGACTTCTGCTATATTATGAGAAACAATTAGCACAATAGCTTCCTGTATGAGAATATACATTGTTTCTCGCTCGGATCTGCGTTCCGGCAAAACAAAAGATAAGATCACAATAAAATCCTCAGTGTTTTAAAATCTTATTTTTAAGGAAATTAATTTTAGGGATGTTCTATAAAACCTCTCTTATAACCGTTTTGGAGTATTCGATCCTTAATCTGATAAGGTTAAATGTATAGTATTAATATAATAGTGGTGGGTTACCACGTGAGAACCTAACGGGTAACCGGGGCTCCGGCTCGACGTGCAGGAGAAGGAACGGGGTGGTTTTTAGTCAGTAAGAGTGACACTCCCTCCCGCCTCACCCAGGCGGGAGCAGTCATTCGATGATTTTCCCCCCTTAAAAAAAAACCCCGTAGGTTCAAAATATAAATAAAATCATCAATCTCTTGTAAGAATCCTTATTCTTCCAATGGCAATTTAGTATATATTATTCTACTAATCCTTTCGCACATTAATGTAATACCTAAATAGTTTTGCATTTTGATGCAAATTGATTTCCAAAGTAACTAGTTTTGGTTAGATATTTGACTTTCCACAGTTGTTAGTACATCTATTTTCCATGAATGCGTGTCTAACCTCTATTGACATTGAACTTGAAACATTTACATCCTATAATTTATGATGTGGTCTTGGTTTCGTGAAGTCGCGGCGATGGCGACAGCGCGCTTTGTATGAACACAGACTGGTTTCAGATTTCAACCAAGTCTATTTACTTTGTAGCTCCGAAATCAGACTTGTACATTACTGAGCTAAGTTTAAGCTTAATGTGAACTGTTCGGTGTCCAGTGACGGTGTTAAATACGTAATCCAAAATGAGGATCAAAGATATGGACAATAAGATTTTGCAGTCTTCAACGTATGTTTTGAATTCGATTTGTACCTACATTTAATACAGTAGTAGGAGTAAATGAGGTTTCAGCTACCGTAAAGACATTATTTTTTCGGTGGGATTAGTTTGTATTTTAATGCTTAAGATACTTCAGATATACTATTTATTTATTCATTATTATGAATACGTTAGGGAATAAAACGTAGTAGTATTTAGAAGGCATGCATATTCATGGGGTATCTCGGTCGTTTCATTAGTGGTCGTCACTATGCTAACACAATTGTGTGTCCCGCAGGACGGCGGCCCCGTACTTCAGTAATCTAGTTTGGTTTATCGGCAAACACATACTGGAACTGGACGCGTGTGTCAGAAACGACGCTGAGTAAGTCCATCTATTATATTATTTGTGATTTTGTTTTGGTCTGTTTTGTTATGTTCGGTTTATTTACTTACTTATATTTTTTTTTCTTTTGAATAGATTTGTATTTAGATGTAGATGTTGCATATTAATCCTGATCAACCGGTTACATACTAAATGTACCAAATTCAAAATCCTTTTTTTAACAATTCGAACCCAGACTTTATTTATGACTCAAAATTCAGAAATTCTTTTTCCAGCCACCAATCACAGCAGAAACTAGATGATCTTGTAGCCGAACATCTCGACCACCTCCATTATATTAATGACATACTATGTCTCAACATTCCCGACCTCAACGATGTACTGACGGAGCATCTGCTGCACAAACTTCTAGTACCTCTGTACATTTACTCACTCACGTCCGAAAGTGTAAGACGACTACAGACATCTTCACCATATAACCGAGACCGCATACAGAGCATTGAATCTATTACAAGGAACTTAGAAGCAATCCTTAAAGGGAAGAACGCGGAGTCTCCATCACGAATGACATTCCCCAGACAAAGAATGGAATCAGAAGACGAGAGCAAGCCGTCGGTGTCGTGTGTCGTGTCCCTGTTTCTGTTATCGCAAGTGTTCCTTATTATAACGCATGGCCCCATTGTCCACGCGCTGGCCTGGATCATACTGCAATCAGACTTATCTGTGTTCGAGGACGGCGCGACCAAGATACTAGAAATGTACATTAGCAATGCAAAGTCCAATGTCAAACTAGAGTTCTCTAAACCACAATTAAGTTTAGAGAAAGCATTAGAAAATACGTCAATTGAAAGGGACTACACTACCCCAGAATACGGTGGTCCCAAAGCATTCGGATATGATACGGATCAATCGAGTTGCGATCTCGACCCCGAATTAGTTTCAACTTCTCTTCCGTCCACGTCACATATAAGCGAATCATCTAGTATTGGTCACGACTCCACTGAGGATTTGGTGACACAAATACAGTCGACGAAAACTAATAGCTCAGGGACTCTCAAGGAGAACATGCCCGACTCGCCTTTGCCAGATTCTGGTATCGAATCGAGTTCGTCGAAAACGAACGAATACAACAATATTACCGATGAAGAGAAACAGAAATTACTTGGCGTAGCTCCGAGCACATCTGCTGAGAGGACTGTGACACTCGACAGTATAATAGAGAGAGAAAGTAAAGAGATCGAGAAGAGGCCATTCTTGAAGACTATTTTGGATTCTTTGGATTGCAGCGAGAATGATTACAAAGCGCTGTTTGCTCTGTGCTTGCTGTTCGCATTGATCAACAATAAAGGTGAGTACCTAAATATATCACATGTGGCCTGGATGTAATGTAGATAATATTGTCATGTGGTCATAATATGTTTATTGTGTCATTCACCTTACCTTGGTTGGGAAGTAATCTAAACATAATTTGATATTTAGGCTATTGATTGTTTTTTCGGACCTTGTCTTGCACAACTTCCAAACAATGTAACCTTGACAAGTTGAGACCTCTCGAAGGTTACTGCAAAGTGCAATGCTCGGCTATAAAAATCTTTTTTATTATTTTTGGCCGTATTTAGATATCAGGCTTGCATGTCCTTTATGTATAGGTCCTTATAAAATATTAAAGCATTATTCTTTTTACTAATTTTGTGTTCTTTTCTGTCCTTTGCTTTCTTTGGATTAAATAGTGGGTAAGTTAGTTACACTCATGTCTGTTTCTCACATTCAGGAATGCCACAAAGTATTGTGAGCCGCTGTGACATGTGAATTGCTTGACACATTACATTTCATCATAGTATTATCTGTAGTTATTATTGAAATGGAATGGTATGGAATGTTGAACGGATATGTTAATATAAATCATATTGTAATATTTCAAAACAGATACAAATCGATACTTGGAAATTGTATTACTAATGTAGAATAATGAGTAAAAATCAGTAACACAAACAATATTTTTTAATTTCAGGAGTAAACACAGAACTACTAGACACACTCCTATGTCCCGAGGAGGAGATCACAAATGCTCAGGAGTCGAGCGGGGCGCAGAGTTCAACGCCCTCTGGTGACACAATGTCGCCGCCTCCCAAACGTCCTCTGCAAAGTTTCAACGCATTGTTAATATCTAAGCTCATGGCCATCGCCAACTTGAGCTGTAAACCTGGTAAGTTTCTTGTACTATTGTTATAGTTTTTGTTATAGTCAGTAAAGGCAGAACACTGCCTAACCTAACTATAACCTAATTGCCCTTTAGATGCATGTACGGATACGCATAGACTATACTTGTGCAATAAACCACACATTATCAAACATCACGTGATATGCATGGATAAGTAATTGTAGATGTCAGAAGATATATGAACTTTTTTGTGTAATAAATGTTTACAATTGTACCATTTCCTGCCAGCATCGAAGGTCCGTCTAGTGACCCTGGAGCTGAGCGTGACGTTGCTGCGCGTGGCGATGTGCGGCGCGGGCGAGGGGCGCGCGCGCCACGCGCCGGCCGCCGACGGCCTGCGCGCGCGCGCCGCCGCGCTCGCCAGGAACTTCTACAAGTGCGACGACATATTCCTCGACATGTTCGAAGACGAGTGAGTCATGCTTTTATAGAATTCACTAGAATTCCTCCTACGGCTTCGTACGCGTACATCTCCCCTTTGGAACCAACCAATAATATCTTAAAAAAACCGCATCAAAATCACTTACGTAGTTTTAAAGTCCTAAGAATAAGGAAGTGGAAAACGGACTATGTTTTATACTGAGTCCACAGAAAATAGAACTCTTAAATAGTCTATAGCTTCTAAAAAGTATCTGTCACCTAGTTTGTGCAAGCAAATATAGATCTTATCGTTGTACAGAACATACAAATGACATTCCAACGAAATTTATGGTTCATTCGACATGAGTTATTACTACTAAAGTATCGATGTGATATGTGATACAGAATAAACACGTTCATAATGTCAGATAATGTAATAATTTATATCGCATATGAACATTATCAATTACAGTCATAAAAGCGTAATCCTAGAGTGTACAATATATATCTTTTGGCCATCTAAGCATGACTAAATACTTATAAAGTAATACTAAACAAATTACAATAACTCAGGGATTACTAAAAATTCAAAGCATTTATTTCAATGAAACCATAATTTGGTACTATTGAAACGTCAATATATAAACAATAATCTGTCAGCCTGTCCGTCAGTGAAGCTAGGTGCTCGTTCCAAAATGTAGATTCGAATGGAGAAGAACGAGCAAGAAATTCCATTCGTTACACTTTTTATCGAGTTCATAAGTAATTAACTTATTGATTATTTAGGCGTTTCGATGAGTCCAGGGTATAATATATAGTTTCGTACTATTGCAAAAATAACTTAGCAGTCATTAGTAAAAATCTCAAACCGTATGTTTTGTACTTTTAGTTCTCCGAACCGGCGTACACCTGTACACTATTGTCCTAATGTATTTGTAATGTTCCTAAATAGATTTAGGCCAATATAGACTTTGATATCACAATTATTATCTTCTTTTAATCTACTAAGGCATTAGTAAAACATAAGTAATGTCTTTTTTCATAACAGGAAAATGTCTAAAAGATGACAAGGTCTCATATCTTATCCTTTAGGCATTTTGTTTTCTAGTAATGTAATTCGGACGAATAGAAGTTAGAGAAGTAGGATCGTAAAAATGGTACCCAGTAATAAACAAAATAGAATATACCTATAGGTACCTTTTACTGTTTTCGTAGGTACCTAAAAACTATGTACTAGTTTCCAAGTTATAATAGTGAAAATATTCTCTTATAAGCTTTGTTACGTTGATGGTAAAGTTTATTTTTCATTGCAGGTATTGTGAGACTAGCAAGCGACCTTTGAACGTGGAGTGGCTATGTATGGATGCTGCGATATTACTGCCACCGACTAGAACTCCGATGTCTGGCATCGCGTTTGCTAAGAGATTGCCTAGTGGGGAGGTAAATGATATACTTTAAATATATGGATAACAATATATGTATAAATACGAAATATTAACTATATAATGAACGCGTACGTTCATCCGAGCAATAGTTTGAAGTGAAAAATTTCCATTGGTTATTGACTAGACATCTCTCAAACTATTTACATTTATTTTCATTTTTCTGACTGATCCTGCACTAAAATGTCATAATATTGGCAATAAAATTATATTAATGACTTTGACTGCCAATAGAAAACTGTTGGAGGGATATCCTCCGCTAACACCGGTGACCGGTGACCCCCATGGCGTTTAATGTGTATTTGAAATATCATTTGATAATATGTAATTACCTACAAGTTTTGTTTCATATTTATCATGTAGATGGAGAGAGCACGGCGAGCGATACGCACCTTCTTTTTGATTCGGGACTTGTATTTGAAGCTGACTGGGAAACCTGAAACACAGCTGCCTCTAACTAATCCGGCGCCGTTTGTACAAGTTGGGGACGTTTTGGACCTTAGTGAGTTACATAATATTTATATGATTTTACTAATTTATTACTCTTATCAACTTTATTTAAAGCAACCAAATAAACTAATAACAACTATTAAAGTATTGCAAGGTAAGATACACAAATTCAAAAGAGGTACCCAATCACTTCGTATTTTGATGATGTCTGAATCTTGGAAAATGTCATAGGTTTAGGGAGTTTCTCGTAAATATAATTCCTGATCTGCATTATTTATGCAAAAATAGAACAAAAAAATGACAATTACTCACTCGCCACCTATATGTTGTGATATTCTGCAGGGTCCTTGCCCGTTCGGTTATGGTTTTGTCCTATACGAATGCGTATTCTTAACTTTTTACTTATGGTTTATTACGTAGTCTTTGCATTTAAATCGATTCTAGGTTTTATTGGATATTTTCCTTTAACATAAGACATAAAACCTCTTTTGCTACTGCAACTTGAAATACTGACTGCTTTTGCCTAAAAATGTCTATCGCCATTAGACAAACAACGAACAAATAAAAAAAAACTTTATGGCATCTTAAATTTTTTTAGCGTAAAGCAGCCTGTATTTTGTGTAACTTTTATAAATGTTAATAAAACTTTTTGTAATTTAAATCTGAACGCAACACTGGCCATTTTTGCTAAAATAAAATTCTCCATCGCCATTAGATGAAAAACAAAAAAAAAAAATTATTTAATGGCATCTCCGTAATTTATAACGAATAAATGCCAGTTTATTAAAATTTTGATATTAAACCTATTTAGAAAAAAACGTAATGTTTTTTATAATGACATTTATTATTCTTCAATTGTTGTAAAAATGGCGGGATTTGAAATTTAAAGTTTATCATTTTTTATTGCAGATGATTCTGATCTCATATCATGTGATATAATACAAAAGGATGGAACGTGGCAACATAGGTTTCTCGCAGTAGATAATATACAAATAATTTTAGTTGAACCTGATAAACAAAGACTAGGATGGGGCGTTGCGAAACTCGTTGGAAGTTTACAGGACTTAGAAGTAAGTTGTCTTTTTATCTTTATTTTTATTTAAGAGGTTATTATTTAGATATTAACATAAAAAATCATATATACTAGCGGATGCCTTTCTAATCTATGGATGTTAGTTAAAATGAATTTTTGACCATTGTTTACTACATCAAAATCATTAACCAATTGGGATGATGACAGGGTATGAAAATTAAAAATATAATTAGGTAGTTCGTACGTTAGGTAATGAAAAAATATTAGACACGTGTTTTTTTATTTTGTCGTATAATAAAACAATACTTAGATAAAACGAATCACAGTTTAGTAGTGGGGGCTAAACGTCATTTCAACGTATAAAGGTACATAGAAGTGACGTCACCCGACATTTAAAGTATTAGTTTCTGCAAGAAAATAAAAAATACCTACGTGTCTAATGATTTAAATAATCTACCAGACGAACATTAATATAAAAATTAGGCATCTAGCCTATTACAAGTGTACTAGATAACTCGATTGTTTGTACCAAGTCAACTATTAAACAATGAAAGAATTTTAATGAATGCTCTTCTTGCGTTGACCTATAAAAACTACATGGCTGTCCGCTAGTAAAATGAAACTCAGTTTATTCTGTCATATCTCCTTTTATCATAAATAATAGATTTCCAATAAATAATCGTTACCATTGTTTTTCTTTGCGTTCTAGTTCAATCAGGTACCAAATCAAATTAATTTTAGTTTTTCTAGTATTTTTTGTTTGTATTTAATGTATATTGTATAATATACATATAATCAATTATATATATTATACATTTCGTTTGGTAGCACTTTTTTCATGATACAAATACATACTTCACGTTTTTCTATTAATATGTATATTTTATGAATTTATTGCTTATCGATGTCGATTGTTCCGACACTATAACCAAATTAAGCTTCATAAAATTAATTTTTAATTTACTTTGATTTATAGTAACTATGAATCGAAGTATAATTATGTTCCAGGGTTGTAGATTTATATCTTTTACTAAAATCCTTACTTAGACATCACTGAAAATATCAGAATTGAATAATTTTATAAATTACTTATAATATTATCTTCTAAAGAAGTTATAAATGAATTTAAATGTTACTCAGTTTTGATATACCAACCCTGTTACATAAACATAGTTACATATACGCTTCATTAGTTCACACATTACACCAAAAATACCTAAAACTTTAATCTTCCATCTCTTTCTATCAGATCCAAGGTGACAAGGAGGACCCCCGTTGTCTTCACCTGACGATCCACAAGCCTCGAGTGGGCGCGTCCGGCGCACTCCCGCGCACTGTACTGCTGAGGGCTAAGTTCAAGTTCGATGACCATATACGCAGTATGGCTGCTAAACAACGACTTACTAAGGTGAGTGAATGGTATTGGTACTTTAATGATTTTTCACGTCAACTATTATAATTTGGCAATCTTATTTAATTTGATAATTTTATTTTAAATCAATGTAGGTCTAATGGCATAAATGAACAACGTGAAGCAACGCTTGTGTTGTGTTTCGTCGTGTGAGTTTGTGAGGTTACCGGAGGCCCAATTACCCTCCCCTTCCCCAATCTCCCCAATCCCTGAATTCTCAACGATCCTCAAACTCCTAATCCCCAAAAAGCCGGTGACGCACTTGTAACGCCTTTGGTGTTTCACTACCACAAAAGTGATAATAATAGATTTTGATCATCATTTGCTAAAAATACGTTTAGCTTTCATGAAAACTTAAGCTTATCTATTCAGACCATTGACTATCGCGATGGTTTTAGTGATGTAGAAATCTCATAATCTCTAAACTTTCTCCTCAAAAGCTAGGCGCATTTTGAAGATGTTAGTCTATAAAAGGAGTACCTTGAGATACTAATATTGCTGCTTCTAGATTATTTTAACATTAATAAAATTGTTTTTTTTTCTAGGGTCGCACGAAATCCCGACAAAAGAAGATGCAGCAGATCGGTCGATTGCTGGAAGTATCAGGCATGTGCGCGCCTTCAATGGCGCCTCGACACCGACCGTTATTTGCAAGACCAGCATTGGCTACTGTACGACGATCCACAGGTAGTTATTATCATTTTGAATAGTATTTATTTGTCTCATGTATTACTACTCCATGTAATTAGATTGGCACGTAAAAGACATTTTATAACATTGAGGTGAAATTCATACGACCAGAAGACTAATAAATTAAAACTTAATTTATAATTTTTTAAATAATAATTAAAATTTAATGTATTATTATTACAAACACGCAATATCGTATTCTATACAGTAGTGTCGGTAGGAGGGGAGGACGACACAGAGCGACGCCTGCGCAGGCCCAGCGGACATATGTTGAAGGATGGCATCGTCGTGTACAGGGAGAGGACTACTAGCAGGGAGAGGTATGTTACAATGTTATTTACTTATTTAGGTATGTATATTACTTTACTAGACTAGCTGTTTATTGTAGCAATAATTAATTTTAAAATGCACTTATTTTTTTATGAAACATCCAATAATTATATAATCTTTGTGGTTTGATTTTAACTTGTGCTACAATGAACTGTATTCATTATTATCTTTTACAATTCTAGAAATAAGACAGCAAATAAATCTGCTCAATTTATGTATGTAGTGACATCAAAATTATTATGATGATGATATTTATGATGAGAATGATTAAAGGTAAATTTTCTGAACATTGTAGCAGTGTGTCGCGCAGTAGTAGTGCGCACGGGTCCCGCGAGGGGTCGCCGCGCTCGCGGTCGGAGGAGATACCACTCGAAGATATCAAGAGGAACAACGTCGTCTCTAGTCTAGCTGCTACTCCCGTCGTACCTCAGGTATACCTGGATTTATATCAATAGATTTTCTACCATTTTTTAAACACAGATCAATTTTATTACTTTGAGAAATGAGCGTTACATTACCTTCTCTTTCGAGGATTAAAAGGGCGTTATGTTATGTTAAAACAAGTTATTAGAAGGTACGTAATAATACGCGTAGTGACAATGTTGAACTATTGTTTATAATAGTTTCAAAGGTCGTCCGTTTACTGTGAAAAGTTCAACTTACTATCTAGTGCGTACATATCAAGGCTAGTCTCTCACCTTTAAAATAAACTTCATTTTCAGTATATTAATACTATTTCTTAATTTCATTAACAGAGTCAACCCAGTACGTCATCGACACTTCTGAACAAAGTGAACAATTCTTCAGAAGAAACATCGTTCATATCGAGCGAGCCTTCGCGACCTAAACGTAAGGGGTTAGTGGAAACTATATGATATTAGATAGCACACACAAACACTAGAAAAATACTTCGATAAATCGATTTACTTTTAACATTTTAACAATACCCGGAATTAATGCCTACTCAGTTCATAAAAGTTATTAACAAAATCATTTAAGAATATATTTATTTATTTTTCATTTACTTGATCAGATTTATTTTTTATATATTATTTTAATAATAAAACACTGGATTTTTTTCCTATATTTTCCTCTATCCTCTATATTTTTTCAACTGTAATATTTAATCGAAAAATCAAATCTTAGGAATTGATGTTGATTTCGGGTGTTGATCAGTTATTATAAACTTTGTTTTTAGTCTCGATATAACTGCGATGTTATGCAAAAATTGTGATAAGATTCGTGTCATTGAGTATGACACCAGGACGGACAAGGGCCTTTAAATTGTATTAAGAATTTTGGTAAATGTAGTAGGGAATAGAAAACGGGAATGGGATGAATTTGTGGCTCAAAGTGTTATAGTGATGACAAACATTATTTCTGGGTCAATGATCTCCTTGATCCCTCTCCCTAACAATATTTAATGTACTCTGGATGACTCAAACGCGACTTACTTTGAGTAAATATAGTGTAAGCTTTACAGTCTGTCAAATGAGTCGAAAGTCGATAGTCAAGTTGTGTTTGAGTAGTCGGAAGTTACATTGACTCATATTCTTACTGTGTTAACCGGTGATATCATTTATACAAAATATTTTTTATTTACATACATTTTACTGCCTGTTATTTATTTTTAAATTATGACGTCTATGGACACGGATTGAAAGCTATATATAGAAGAAATGATTAAAACATCAACATAGTTTATTGTTTGTATTTTCTTTTTATAATTGTCAAATGTGAGGAATTTCGTATGAATGTGACGTAAATTAACTACGTTTCATGGATATGTTCTAGTTGACAATAACTCAGATATGTTAGTTTAAGTATCGTCTCGTGGCGGTTTTACGGTGACCGTGTGTGAGTAGTAAAAGAAAAAAAAATCTCTCTATCGCACATTCGATATGGAAGCTCACAACACTATGGCTTACTTCAAAGTGACGTCATGCCTACTCATATCATGCTTTGAAAAGATCCAAGATTTTAGATACTTCATAGAAGTATGTTAGTAGTGATAATGTGTTCAGTTCTCCCGCACACACGCGTAAGTATTATTTTAGTTACCTACTAAACAATGTTATTCCTAGAACTCCTATACTTTGTTATGTTAAATTAGGTATGTTAACATAGATTAGTCTCATCGCACTTCCATTTCAATGTTAAAATCGTTACAGAAATATAATTACTATATGAAAAGTTAACATGAACATCAATTTGACGGTTAAATAAGTAGCATTAAAAATAGATATGGTGACAAATTAAAAGAAACATTGTAAATTATAAATTATCATATTATATAGGAGATTTCAAAGTAGTTATTTTTCTAAAAATTAACGGAATGGATCTCTTATTACGTCCATTTAGATTATGGAATGAAGTACTTAGGCTGTTCTACACAAACGACATTGATGCCGCTTGTGTATAATTACCTAAAACTGAGTTTGCGTTGATTGACTATAAACAAATACACATAGATTATAAAATAGAAAACTAAATAATTCTCTGAGAGTCCAAATACTTCTATAAAGTAACCCTACGTATTTTTTCATCATTGATTACTTAATTAAGCCCTTCCCTGTTACTATTGGCAGCGCAAACTCTAAAGTTAGATAGAAAAAAAATGTATTATTAAATATTTATGTATCGTATTTTGTATGTCTTATTTATTGTGTCATTCGGTGTTAGGCGTCTCAAATGTTGATTCGGCGGTTGTATTTGTACGTAAAATAAGTTATATAAGCTTGCTTTTTGTGTTGTTTTACGTAAAGCAAAGATTTTTTTTATTGGTATATGTTTATAATGACTAAAGGTGTGCTCTAACGGTGAAATATCTCCATTAAAGTCCAATACTGGAAATTATTAATATTTCGGTTAAAATATCATTCCTTACATGTGCTGATAAATGTAACAAATATGAAATAACAGGTTAAGTATGACTACGACACAGATCTAACTAGAATATTCTATGGATATATAAACCTTAAGAAATTTATGTTGTGATTTTTTTATTATTTTAAGAATTGCAATAACTATTGATGTAAATAAATGTATTTTTGTGTTCTTAAATGAAAATATTGTAGTGTTGAAAGGAAATATATCACATGTTACATTTAAATTGTGTTTTACTGTTTGCCACTGATCATACTATATTTTATTTAAAAATAATGACGGGTAAATCGGAAAATTAGAGTTATCAGGGGTAAGTTATAAAATGAAACATCAGCGTTAACTATATTTTTGTTCTAATTTATTTGATTAATCGTCTGCTCTATACACATGATATGCACCAATGCCTATAAATAATATAAACGATGATGAACAATACCGGTAATGACATAAAATATTTACATTAACGTAACAAAACATATAACATACGATTGCTCTTTATTATTATATAAAACTCTATAATAAAAAATTACTTTAAGGTAACCCTTGAGCTATGTTATTAATTTTATTTCATTATCCTCTGGAACTAAATGTTAACATTCATTTTTGTCCAACACGTCTTTACATCCTTCATTTAACAATAACATTTAAATCACAGTTCTATCCTTTAAGTTTGCACCTCAATTACATTCCTAAAATATAGGAAGATGGAGAATCCGCACACAGGTTGGAAACTTGAAAATAGTATCAGATAGGATAGTCTTGTCTTATTTATATTGTTCACATAGAAGTTACATTACATCTGTCAGTTGTGAAACTAATTTTTATCAAAAGATTAAAGACTAGCGTTTAAACCATTAAGTTAAGAAGTAGTTCTTTCATATTTTTAAAATAAAGAAAGAGCATAAATATTTTAACAATAAATCACATTTTAAGAATTATTTCGATAGAGAAAGGAACACTTTATTACAATAAAATATTATTATTTACTTTTTATAACAGATTTTAACTAAGTCATAGCATCACGATTTGGTCGTCGCAACATAATGACAACATAGCTATGTAGAAGCGAGAGCAACTCATACACATAGGTACATAGAATAAAAATATCACACATTAGGCTGATAAAAAGTTTTCATTCAACAATTCTACCTTATTTAAAGATTTTATTACACACACAGAAAGTCTATGGCAGGGAATATTTCACATATTTTATTTTTATTTAATATTACGACATCATCCAAGTTTATAAGTAAAACAGAAACACTACACAAATAATTAAAAAATATGAACGAATTAATTAAACGTAATATTTTGAGAAGACAGCCAATTATAATTCATAATCAAAAACAAACCACTACACTGACTTGACAATAACTGCTGTTTGAATAAAACATGCAATAGTAGGATAAATGCGCTCTTTCACAAATGACTAATTTTTCTATTTCTTCATATAGCAAGTACACCGTATTTACATAAATGTATCCACAAGGGAACACCTGGAGGTTCCACAGACCGCGAGTTGATCACACTCCGCAAGTGATGCGAGGAATGTTACACTTACTTGAAAGTAATAGCTTATAATTATAATAAATTACTAAATGTTGAACACTGCGCTTAAATACAATCTATGAAAACATGCAGAGTGCCATCAACACGCAGTTGCTATTAGGCCCTGGAATTTGATGCTTATAGCTCATTAGGTAAACGAATCTAGGTTCGACGTTTGCCGATGCACTTATTAGGAAATACGAAAAAAGCATCTGTAATGCAAGCTTTAATGGAAGCACGTATATACTAAAATATTAAAATATATAAACCGTGTGAAAACACTATCTCTTCGTAACCTGGATATTTCAGAGTTTCTATTTAAGACATTTCAATTTCTGCAGTTGGCGCGAATAATTAATTCAAGTATCTTAGATAGGTATAGTTACAAATTGTAAAGGAACAATATGTTTATTGGTGTATAGCATTAATCCAATAATGGAAACATACCGATGTTCGATATTTCAATTGCTTATTTACACAATTTCATTTGGAGAAACAGAATGATTTTCTTAATTTTAAACATTGGTGTCTTCAGTACGAACTGTGAAGTGAAAGTTTCATTATGTCAATATTACAGTTTTTCTATAAAACGATCTATATAATTTTATATACGTAAATAAGCAGACGAATTTTCCTTCGTAAAATAGAAGTGATGTAGTTTCTAACAAGTAAATGAAAACTCGTCTGCTGGTAGACAAAAATAAATGAACCCTGTCACCAGTTTTATGTGCGCTTAGATCGTAATAATCAAAAGTGAAGCGAAAATATTGTTACATACCAGGTGATGTTCAAATCAAAATGTACACACGACAAAACTAATCGACTACGAAGTATGAAGAATGCGAGGAGTGACAATGTTCAATGGATCATCTATTTCGTTAATGTACACAACACTTTGTTATACAAGCCAGTTAGTCTAAACGAAGCTCATATTTTTCTTAACACCTATGTACGTCTATTATGTTTTTGATGTCGAAATTATTTTATACGAAATTTAATTTAGGCAACGTGAATTTTTAGTTACCATAATGTCTATCATGGCGTGCATGCTCACCTAGTCGCCAATCGCAGTAAGTCAGACATAAGTTTGTTGTCATAACAAACAATAAAACGAGAAAATTGTATAAACAAATACGAATGAAGATATTTAATTTGTATTATATTGCTCTCCAAAATTTAGAAGCTTACCAACGGTTACGATGACTTTATAATTAAATGGAGTATTCTATGCATTAGTAGTAGTACTTGTAGTGCTCGATACAGATAGCAAGTAAAACAGAGCGAATCTTAACCCGAAAATAATACGTAAGTAATTGACCCTCCTTAGATTTAAACAATTCAAAGTAACTACTTTAATTTGATTACAAATATATAATTGACAAAAACTAATCAAAAACTTTTACAATAATTTTCTGTTTCGTCTACAGAAACGTAATTTTCAAAATATGTTTTTATGACACGTCGTTCAGTGTCTTCCACAATATTCTAGCTAAAATCTGCAGATATACATTTTAATATTTCACTACTAATGGTGCAAATATTTCTAAAATATATTATATATTTATAAACAGTAATCACTATATTGTGCCATATACAATGCACGCGTAACACACATGTATGTATTATTTAATGTATCGTAGTTACTTACACATAAAAACATTACTGTTACACAGTATCACTTGCTATACACCAACCTTTATGTAATTAGCTAACTATTATATTATATCCTTTGGTGTATATACGTAGTTCACACGCCAAGTTAGTTTATCGTACAAAATGAAGCGCTCGACCAAGCTGCAAAGTAACGTTCCTTCTCTGTGTGCCACGTGGCACGTGGACAGTTGGACACAGTGTCGGGTGTCAGCACTCGGCGCTTGAACTACTCACGATTTGTTGGACATAATCAAAATAAAATCAACGCACATACGCCATAACATTTTATACATCAGTTAACAATCATTATTGTCAGTTATAAATCTATTTTTATGAATTTTATATTTAAGTATAAATTCGCGTCTAGTAGTAAGTAGGCAGTTTTAAAACAATTGTTTATAATTACATTTACTATTTAGCTCCCGGCTGCTACGAGGTGTGGTCTTGTATCTCTACTAATAATTTATTCTACTGTCTATCGTGAACGTCTTAAATATCTTTGGATGGACTGTCACGTATTGTTCTCATTCTACATTGGACGCTCTACCAAACTTCATTCGTATATGTATTATACACCAGACTCATTGCTCTCTGCTGGACCATTGTCCATTCTAGGAACATACATACTTAAACATGTAAATCATTTTAATGTTAACTTTATTACTTTGTAAGTCAAAGTAATCGTTGACCGTGGCACTGGCCGATATAAATAAAATTCTGTTAAAATAATTTTAACTGTGTTGTAAATATAAAGTTGGCTATAATGTAAATATTATATAGTTACAATTATATAAAAGTTTGGTCGTCAATACCACACCTCGTCGTGCAGCACGGCGTCTACTAGTCGGCTGAGATGGAGGGATCTAGCACATTCAGTAATTAGCTACACAGTTAGAGTTAATGCTTACACTTACATGATACGAGTACTACGGTAAAATAGTTAAGGTGTTGCCAGATCGGTGATCGAATGTCACGTTTTGTGGCATAATCATGCAAGTCACTTATGTACGTTTGGTCTGGCAGACCCTTTTTCACTCGTTGCTCAATAAACATGCAGTCGAAGCATTCTGCCACAGAAACTGAACATATCTATAGTCATGAAGTGTAACAAGATACAAGCAACTATTATATACGACATAGGAGATGTCTGTGAGTTTTGGATTTTTTATGTATTAATTTATTTATTATTTATCTCCACACGTAAAATATAAAGGACAACTCATATATAAATTTAAAGTACAAAGGTACTACTACTCCTATTGGAATTTCTTCCTGTGGACCTGTGGCACGAAAAGTTATTATGATATACGGCACAGTGTAGAATATATATATAAATAAAGGAATCTGCATAATTTAGAGGAAAGGTAGTATTCTCTCACTTGTCTGTTAAATATAGCGATTGATTCAGCGTCCCGAATGTTAGGCGAGAACGAATTCCACAGTCTCACTGCATGAACCGAGTAGGAGTAGAAATCGGCATTATGGAGCACAACTTTAAGATTATAAATCAGACTTAGCGAATATAACTGTTCTGAGTGAAATGTTCGTTATAAATTCAAAGAGATTTGTATGTATTTTGTTACACGACACACTCTTAAGTAGGCGTTCCAACAACAGTCAAGTTAGTTCTAGCAAATTATACTTACAGTTAGTTACGAGTATCGATAGGAGTTTGCGAGAATATTATCCAAACGTGCAAATAAATCAACGACCTCGTAGCTTATCGAATAGAAAATTCACTTAAAAACTTTTTAAACTGTCAAGAGTCTCACGCTATCACATAACCGATATTCGTAGCGGTTCGCATCGATATAGTCACATCGTCCGAAGAGTATCTTGGTAAAAAAGGGAGTATTGCGAAAACCTTTATTGCTTGAGGGTTAGGAGCGTAGCTGTGCAGGACTAAGCACGAGTTCGCCGTCTGGTCCACCGGCAAAGGAGACGTTGCGCGGGGGCGGGCGGCGAGCTGGAGCTCCGGCCAGCGCGCTCGGCAGCGGCGGCGCCTGCGCCCCCGGGCTGGGCGACGCGGGCACGCTGTGCGCCGCCACGCCCCGCGCGGGGCCCGGCACCGGGCTGTGCCCCGACCCGCTCCGCTGCAGGCCGCTGTGGTGCGACCCATGCGACCCGCTCTGCTGCAACCCATTTGGTGAGCTTGCCCCCTGGTGCGACGTGACCTGAGAACACATTTAAAATAAAAATGATTTCTCCACTCCACAGACTTGATAACTCAAATTATTACAGAATGTGCAATCGAAATCCGATCAGCATTTCATCTAAGCGAACCAAACAAACAGACTTTTGGACAGACGTCATGCTTTTGTATTTATAATAGTAAATAAGTAATCATACGTGAATGACCTGATGTAGTGGGGGTGGATGCAGCGAGGCGGTGCGGTATCGGCGCAGGCGCTCGTCCTCCTCGCCGCTGGACAGCGAGGACACGTCGCAGGACGAGGCGTCGAGGCGGCGCGCGGGCGAGCACTGTGCGGGCCCGGCGCGCGCGCCGCCCGACCCGCCGCCCGCGCCGCCCCCTGCACTTCCCGCCAAAGGCATCTCCTCGCCTTCCCCGCACCCAGACAGTCTGAAAACACAATCATATCTGACACCAACTAATAGATAGGTAACTTCTGAACAAAAATTACCCATCGATTTTGACACCTATCAACCTACCTATGGTCTTATATAAAAATTCTTAATTAATATAATGAGAACAGCATAAGATGAGGGTACCTTCTGTTCTCCTTGTAGATGGTTCGCCGTCGACAGCAAGGCTTCGCAAATATGCAGAAGAGAATACGCAGCAGACAGCAGGCCAGACCTGCAACAATAAGCGACGGACCCACCAGGCGTAGAGCTGGAGTCTTGAAACCCTGAAACATTTACAACAAACTTCATAACTTACACACATACATGCATTGCTTCTGAAAATTATATGGATCAGCAAGAACTTAATTTAAACTAGCTAGTCAATGTCATTATAAGAAAACACCTATATTATCATTTATATCTTTTATACTTCTACACTAATATGAAAATGTTACGTTTCATAAGCGAGAAAACATATTTTCTATGAGGCAAGTTGCTTAGCAGAACTTTTTGAGATCAGTAAAATCAAATTAATATGAAATGAAAAGATCTCATTCATTAAATTGAAACCAATACGTAGCAGTTAGTTTATACATATTAGAATAGGTATTAAGGAAAGAGCACTAAATAACTATACTTGTACCACTACCGAGACTCACAATATTCTTGAGTGTCATATATATGAGACTTTTCGCAGTGTGTAGTGGAAATGGACATAAAAGGACAAACCTACGACCGGCTACGTCGTAGCTCGTAGCAGCTACGAGCTACTACGAGTGCCTGTCGACGTTCATTGTCACTCGCTACATAAAGGACAACTTGTGCTCTTTTTAAAAACTTTAATGCACCACCTAGTAGTAAAAGAAAACTTTATGATCATATCTTGTGTAAGTTTTAACTTACAACAATATAAAATGTATTGAAGTGACCATTTGTCAAGTTTTAAGCTACTTATATTATCTAATTTGCAAAAATTGTTTAACATTTTACCAATCTCGTCAGGTTAAGGTAAAGCATCATAAATATTATTATGCAACTGTCTACGACGTAGTTTATGATAACTCTCTAACGATAATTTCAATTTATCTGTCAGTATCTACAACTACATATATGTGAGGCAAAATAATATTAAAAGTTAAAATGCTTATAGCTCAAAGACTACCTAATGGCTAAACATCTAATAAATTGAAGTTAGCACATCATAACCGTATAGTCACGGTGTTAGAGATGTACCTTGTCGCCGGTGCCGACGAAGTAGACGACGAGGCCGAGTGCGAGCGTGCCGAGCCCGGCGTAGAGCAGCCGCGCGACGCCCCACGTGTCGCCGGCCGCGCCGTCCGCCTCGCCGTCCGACTCCGACGACGAACCGTACGAAGCGTCTCGCACCTGCAAACAGTACACCACACTATTACACGAAGCCACTATTAGCAAAGTTCCATGTAAACAACAACATCAACATCTGTGACTGAACAACAACTCCTTATAATTACACATATTTACAGAATTATTTACACAATTTACATGTTAGAAAGTTAATTAGGTAGTTTGCAGCCCATAGTTCGTAGAGATCATAAATTAAACTTCGTCATCCTGGCACTACTTACTTAGCTGTCTACCGATTCACAGTCTTTAATTATAGCCTCTAGCTTAACTTACAATAATGATGTCTAACGGTGGCTAAGCTCGACAGACTAACCTACAACGCAGAATTTATTTCAATGTTCAGGTCGTGCACTATCTGTCTGCCTACTCTCGTGATTCAATGGCAATAGAACGCTATTAATTGTCCCGAAAATGCTTTATAGATGTTACTATTGTCTTCTGAATAGGTTCCTCAAAATGAAGTTGATTTTTGGCTGGAAATGCTGTAAATAAGACAGTGTTATATTAATGTACCCGGTTGTTCCTGTGCCATTTGCCGGTCTGGCCCTTCCTTGCCCCAGGGTGGTCGCCGAGCACGGAGCAGCGCCGCGCCGCGCCGCCTGCGCCCGCGCACCCGCCGCCCACTGACAGCGCCGCCGCCTCCGCCCAGGCCGCGCGCCCGGCCGCGCACTGCACCACAACACACCCACTTATGAAACTTACTGGGATAATACCAAGTAATTTGTTGTCGACCGATGACCTTTATACGATTTTGATTAACTTATTTCATTTTCTGGAAAGTATTAAATTATACAGGCAGATTTGGTCAACTCAAAACTTACTGTAAACAAGTAAAACCAATTAATAACTTTCACTTCAGTGATTTTTGCTATCGGAAATGATAACTTTAAATTCAATTTCTTTGTTTACATTTAAGTAGAAAATGCTGGCTCGACTCGACCAAGATCGTAGTAGTGACATATAGAGATAATTTATGTTTATGATGTAACTATTTAAATTATGTTTTGTGTATGTGTAACTATGTATATTATTATAAAAAAGAATTATTATTATTATTATATGTTTTTTAAGTCCATTTATGTTTCCGAAGTGCAGGTGGGATATTTTATTTGCAATTTAAAATTTACCCGAAACTGTAGTCTGCTTCCTTATTATCATTAAATAATATCCATCTAAAATGTAAAAGCCGTGAAATAGATTGTGTCCTTGTGTGAAATTGTATTATTTGTAGGTTTCACAAAGCCATTTCCTCGGTTGTGGCCGGTCTCAAGTGCACAACGCCAATGGTTTAATTGAGCGTTTCGTTCCTCAGCTTCAGACAATTTCTGTTCTGCTTAAAGCAGATTGCAATTTCCATGGAATTTAAAGCAATGTCCCGTTGACAGACATAGTTTGAAATTGAAATTCGTATATTTGTAACTTGCAAATCTGAATACGTTGTTATCACGAGAAACGTAAATATTATTTGTCGTAAAATGGAAGTAGGTGCACGTTTTTGTCGTGAAAAGCCTTTTTTATTTACTTCTCCATAGCTTTATATTGCACAAACCTCCTCATATTGTCTTGTAAAACGAAAGCATAATTACATCCGATACTGAAACCAATAAATACATTAGAAGGCAACCTTCCTTCAGTAAAAATTGTTGATACAAGTCACGATTTCGATAAACGGAAAATGAGGACATATAGGTAATAGCCAGTGGATTTGAGAGCATATTACACGGCGTATTGGACCGCCAGCGATATTTCATGTCGTGCGCACAAGGAAACACTGACTGCAATAAAAATCCTCTAAAAGTGGCCGTAAACAAGTCCAAGAAACAGCGAAAGGAAGACTGTCGATATATCAAACAAGTTGTACGGATGTCCCCCGCGTCTTATTGTTCGCGGGATTTTGATTTACGGAAGTGGTATTCCTTTTGACCTACTATTCGATATCTTATTCTTACACACATTAAAACCTCTGTATCAGTGTCTTTCATTTAGTAATAATTATAAATTAATACACAAATGATAGAGTACTTAGTATTTAACTACACTTTATTGTTATCTGTAGGTAAACTTTCACATCTTACATAAACAAAACGTTTTTTAACGCAGAACATCTCAAAGTGACATCGATACGGAAATTTTCACGAATGTAGTCGTGGACAAAGAAGTTGTTTTATATAAGCGTACAGTAAGCCTGCAGGGTACATCATAAGTATGCAAATCGTTCGTTTCTGGGTCAATAGACGACGTAAATAGTGAAATGATTGCGTCTAATAGTCTGCTTTAGCGAGCCTACTAAAGTATATAGCGCGTGGGCGGACGATGTTTCCACGAGCCGTCATTTTTCAAACACGCCAATATGCGGTAATAAATTGTATAGAATCTTTTATACGTAACCCGTTGTTTTTTACGTAGAATAAATTGACCTATTAGAAGTAGGTTCCAGTTTCAGTACAGCTATAGGTAGATATATGTAGTTTCTAAGATTATTTAGACGCCACTGACAAACTGTGAAGCAAAACATCGTTACGAAACCTGGACTTATAATTTGTAATTATAAGTTTGAAATCACCAACTCGCAATCAGGAAGCGTGGATTAATACTCAAACCTTCTCCGTGTGATAAGAGGCTTTGCTCAGCAGTGGACACTTATAGGCTGTTGATTTATGCTGTGTATCTATGCTTTTATTGGAATAAAACAAGGCTTTTAGTGCATATAGTATTCTTGTTCAGAGTTCGAAACCGATTGCGATTCTTTTGCCCAACAAGTTCAAGGAACACAATCATGCGGTCTAATTGAGACTTTTATTCGTAGTAACATCGAAGCCTACATTATGTTAATTTGAAGTCCTTTGTACAAATTATTACAACTTGATTTATGTGGACAAAAATGTTATTACACGGTGGGCGCGGCTCACGCTACCCTGTCATGCGAATGTGGCTTAAATGTTTTAAAATTATACTTGGCTTCATAATATACGCCGGTTAACTTCGCAGAAACTAGGGTGCTTATTATCTTCTAGAAACACACAATTTATATGCAATGATTCTATCGTCACGTTATGTTTCAGCCATTCAAATAATTCCAAGAAACAATAATACTGCAGAATTTGCTCAACTAAGCCTTAACTCGTCGAGTACCGGTTTTGCAGACACAATTATAGAACAATAGGTTGCGGTCACCGGTGACCGCTTGGTATTTGACAGTTTAATATTGTTTTTAGAATTTATAAGTAACATAACATATCGCTTGTCTCATAATGTATGTTTACTACAACCAATAGTCCTTTGTTCTCTTCAAAGTTCATGCTCTTTCTACGCAGAAATAAATACCTAGTGCAAACACAGGAAAAGTAATCAATTTAAAGATATAGTAAATGTCTATTAACATTATTAAGTAATGCCTAAAAGTTGATACGTTAAAACTTTAACGTACAGATAAATAAAATGTGAGTATCTGTTTGTAATATTGAAATAGCTGCTTATGCATATGAAAATATATACGATACATGTATCAAAATAAACACTTTTTACAATTTTTGTCTGTCTGCCTGTCTGTCTGTTTGTTTGTACTATATCGTACTTTATGGGAATTTTATTGGCAGGTAGCCGATGTACTAAGACGTAACATTGATTTTATTTTAGAAAAACGCAGACAAAGTTGCGTTTACAGCTAGTCTATTTATAAACTAATTCGCTTTTCATAAAGATTATTCCACTAAAGAACCACGTTACTATAAAAAGTTACACACAGAAGAATGTTTAATCTGTACGGTCATAAAAAAGCTCTGTGACATAGCTTCTACAACGTGAATTTTTTGGAGTAATTAAGAAGGGAAATGTTTAATATACCCAGGTATTTGGGTCACATACATAATATATAATGTATATGTATGCGCGGGTGAAGTGTGTGTATTTTGTAACATTACCTTTTTCCTTGGCTATCCGTTATATGCACGTTTGACACGTGATTATTATGAAATAAGTGGCGATAGTGCTAACTACTTTTTTTGGCAAATAGCGAGTACAATAGGGTGGATGCCTAATTTTTACTTTAATGTCCGTCTGGTAGATTATTTTAAATCATTAGACACGTATTTTTTATTTTCTTACAGAAACGAATACTTTCGACGATATATTGATTTGAAATGTCGCGTGACGTCACTGCTGTGTACATTTTATACGTAGAAATGACGTTTTAGCGTTACGTTACGTTTTATTTTATTTTATTTTTTCATTACCTAACTTACGGACTAACTAGATTTTTAATCTTCATACCCTGTCATCATCCCAATTCTGGATAAAGAAAATAGCCAAAATATACTGTTTACCAAGTATTACCTGACCATTTCGTAATTGAAAATGTTATTTACCAGATGGTAAAGATTTTTAATAATCATTTTATTAAAATGGATTATTATTATCGCTCCTAAATCACTGGGGAGGCCTATGTTCAGCAGTGGACGTCCTATGGCTGATACCTATAATGATGATATCTTTAAAATTATATCTCTTCATGTCGATGGTTTTATTGACAGTATATTTTAGTTAGGTTGTTCTAAACCCAAACTATGAAGGGGATTCTCATTCATAATTATTTACTTCCTCACTGAGTTGATCAAACTGGTTTCATGTTCAAATCAAAAAGCTTTCTGGTTTCCGTCATTTACATCAATAGTCAAATATATTGATGACATAATAAGTATTCATCTTCAATAGGACGTCATGACATATTTGGTTACAGCTCGCATATATCTTCAATTTAAGACGCCATGTAAATATTTTTAATTTGCAACAAACTGACCCCTCTGGTACAACAATTTTAAACGAGCGGAAAGTGGTTCGTTTCACTTAAAACTCGCGTCGTGCATCCACAGTCAGATCGATTGTTATACTTTGTTTTATAACTTGTTTTGCAATTGTTCCCACAAGGTTCGCTCGTTTCCAGTTATCGTTGGTATTTTATATAACAAAAACTGTTTGAAGTTCTTTTTTTGCATAAAACCTCGGTTTCTGTGATGTAGGTCAGTAAAACTGTTTGATTGACACAAATATTTCTGTTTCTGTGTCTATACACAAGTCCATAGTGAGTACTTATAGATGATAACATTTATCTTCTGTGTCGTTGGTGTATTTATAAATATAATCGACAATAATTTATATACACATGAGTACGATTTATTGATCATAGGAGTAACCGTGTCTATATTTTGGGATTAATTTCATCTTAACTTAAGTCTTTAAAATGCAGTTAGTCCATTATAGTTTTCTAATCATGATAACAAAGTTATCGGAATCTCAATTACCCCCCTGTCCAATCTCCTCAATCCTGAATCTCCAAAAATCCTCAAATGCCTAATCCCCTAAAAGGCCGGTAACATTCTTGTAATACCCTGGTGTTCCTGGTGTCCATGGGCGACGCCGATTGCTCATTATCAGGTGACTCGTTTTGCTCGTTTATTGGTTTATCCCATAAAAAATTTGAATTTCACAATTAGTTTCTGATATGCACGGAATAGTTAAAATCTCATTACCCCTACCTAATGCTTATAATTTTTTGTATTACATGTTTCTTATTATTTACTACTTATTTTTGAT